AACCATTGAACATGTCCTTAGCCCTTTTTATTTTCTATTTTGAGATGGGGTTTCCTAAGTTGCTTAGGGCCACCAAGTTGCTGAGACTGACTTTGGACTTGTAATCCTCTTACCTCARCCTCTCAAGATGCCTGGCTTAAATTTGGCCCTTTGATGTTATCCCAGATTTCTTRAATATTCTGGTCATAGTCTCTTAACATCTTTTCTTTATGGTTGGCTTTGTTTTCAAGATTATATACCTGAAAATCTGTCTTCAAAATGGTCTAATTTATAGGTGATGCTTTCCATTGACTTTTTAATTGGCTTTATTTGAGTCTTTCATTTCCAGGATTTCTGTTTGGTTCTCAGAATTCTCTCTCTTCATTGAAAGTAATCTTTCACTTCCTGTATTTTCTCTCTAATTTTATTGTTTACATCTTCTTTTAGCTTATACAACATTTTAATTATGAACTTTCTAAATTCTTTCTCTGACATTGGTGTCAATGGAGTCAGTTTTGAAGCATTATTGGCTCTCAATTTTACCTATCTCCTGGAATAGTTATCACTTCTACTCTGAATTTCTTTCTCTTAAGAGCCCTAGGTTGGGTGAATATCCATTTATTGATGTTTTAAGTCAGTGTGTGACCACTGCTTGATCCATTATCAGCACCACTTTGAGAGGTGCCACTGAACCCTATTTACTACAATCACTTGAGAGCCAAGCCTCATATTGTTCAAAGTTAGGAAAACCAGAAAACTTGTTGATACTGTTCTCCCAGTTCCTCAAATCCAGGTATAAACTTTGTAGTAAAGTTCTGGGATAGGTTGAAAAATAAATTATTAAATTTAGCAAAATTGCTATAACATTAAATGAGGACTAAAAGGAGGGAAGCAGAAAGATTGGGCAAAAAAGAGAGAAAATATAGAAAAGAATAATGTACACCAAAGTAGAAAGGAGAAATGAATGGTGACTGTTTGTGGTAGTAACAGATAATATAAGAGGACAAATAAACAAAGATAGAAAGGTTGATTCCAATTAATGCTTTAAATAATTAGAGAACATGCATTCAGCCAGGCACTGTGGAGCATGCCTGTCATCCCAGCAACTTGGGAGGCTGAGGCAGAAGGATCACAAATTCAAGGTCAATGTCAGCAACTTAGCAAGGTGCAAGCAACTTAGCAAGACCCTGTCTCAAAAAGTAAAAAGGGCTGGGAATTGTAGCTCAGAGGTAAAGTGTCCCTGTTTTCAACCAAAAAAAAAAAAAAAGAAGAAGAAGATATACAATCAAATGGGTTAAAGGTAAAATGCAATATTGGCCTTTAGGGTGATAACTGTCAATCAAGTTAGAGAATGATATATGTGATCTAAGTTGACATTAGAGYTATTTATAATAAACCATGCAAAGGTGAAGAAAATTCTTGTTGAATCTTTGGATTTCATTTGACACTTAGCAGGTGTCCGTCATTCTTTGACTGTGGATCCCTCCAGAGTTGCTAGGGCACAGGAGTCACTTCCCTAGTTCCTATGGACTACCCACCAGCTGGTTCTGGTTTGCCACCTCAGGGGCTTGCAGCTGACTACTCAGAGGGTGCAGTGTTTTGTCTGTTGTGTTGGGAATTCAGGATGCAGGCTATCATATGTGGACCATCCCTGTGCTCCTACATCACACCTGTGGTCACCCATGCTGCCATGCTGTCTCATACCCTTGAGCTCACAGCCTGCTAAGACTAGCAGTAACACTGGAGTAGGGCAGTGTCCCACATTGCTATGGGCTGCCTATTGCTGAGGTAGATTTGTGGCCCAAGACCACTGCAATTTGTCACAAGTGATGCCAGCTGGAATAGCAATCTGATGGACTGGGGCTATATGTCTTACCCATGCATTGGAACTATTCCACAGGTTCCATCCACAAGAAGGCCTAAGGATAGGTACCATTAGGATCTGCTGAGTAGTAGGTTTAAATTATCCAGTACTGAGATTCAGGGCAAACTCTTGTGCTTACTGAACTGTCCTATCCCCAGGATGTGGGGTCTTACACCACGCTATGCTGCCCATATTTGAGGTAGTATTGTTGGAGGCAGACTTCTCCAATCCAGGCTGATGGTAAGATGGGTTGTGCCTGAGTCTCACATCCCCAAGGACCTGAATAGCTCAAGGGTGCACTAGGGCCCATGCCACAGCTGGCAGTGATGCCGGCCAAAACATAGTTCATCCCACTGGGATGCAGGTCTCTGCTTTGTGCTGGAGCAGTGCTCCCCTTCTGGAGCACTGACCTGGTGATAACTGCTACCCAGGGTTGGAGGGATGGGTAGTGGAGATAACCCCTTGTCTGTCAAGGCTGGTGTTGAGCTGGTTTGTACCTAAGTCTCCCAGCAGCAAGTAGCCTGCACTGGGTGTGCCTGTGGTCCATTCTAACGCTGGAACTGATGTAGGGCAAAACTCAAGAATATTACTGGCACACAGGTCTCCACCAAGCGCCAGGACTGGTCTAGAGTCTCCATCTGTGAGGTGTGGCCTGTGTATAAGGCCTTCAGTTTCTACCCCAGTGTTTGGTTATCACCTCAGCAGGACTGGTACTAGACTCCAAGGCTCTCTGCTAGCTTTTGTACCCTACTTTCCAGTGAGTAAAGTCTTGATCTCCTCTTTATCACCTAAGGAAAAGTGGTAGCGGGAGTCGGCCTCCTGGCCTAACTCAATTCCATAGGCTCAGTCCTGGATGTTGTCCTGAGAGTAGGGGTTGGGTTTTTGCCCAGCCTAGGTTTCACCATGGCAGGCCTGGTACTAGATTTTAAGTTCAAGACCTGGACTTAATTCTCTCTCCATGTAGAGCTGCTTGGAGTTGACAGGTATGACAAGGGCATCTCTTTTCCTTCTCCAATGCTTTTTTTTCCATTTTGTTATACTGCAGGCACCTGATTTTCTTAGCACTTGAAGGTAGTTTGGTGCATAAGTAGCTGTGAACAGTTTGGTATTTCTATAGAAAGAGATTACAGGAAAATCTTAATTCAAGTGTCATCTTGTTATGCCCCCTTTTTAAATTGACACGTAATTCTTTACAATGTATATTATAGTAACCCAATACATGTATACAGTGTACCTCAATCAAATTGGGGTAATAAGCACTTCCATCTCCTCAAATATAAATTAYTTTTATGTGCTGGGAATTTCATATTTCTAGTCATTTTTAAATAGCATAAATCATTTTTTAACCAGTAGTTACTCTGCTGTGCTATAGAAAACCAGAACTGATGGCACCTAAGGCAGGGTGGAATCTTGCCATGGGTGTTGTAGCAGCTTGGGTTCTGGAGGGTAGGGGACATCCAATGTGAGTTTTCTGGAGGGTAGGGGACATCCAGTGTGAGTTCCCTTTTAGGAGCAGGGCAGCCACTCTTAGCCAGCTTCCCAGATTGTACTTAAAGCTTGTAAGGACCATGGAAGTTTGCAGTTGGGATGCCAGTCTCCTGGTGCGATGGCAGTTGCTGGTATTTCCTGCTTCCCTTTTATTAGCAGTGTGGAGCTCCTCGGACTRGACACTAGGATTGAAGTTGTAATTTACTTTGTTCTTTTCTCCATGTTGCCTTTCTAATTCTCCATGCTGTTTAGAGTTCTCATCACTTCCTTGCTCATTTCCAGAGTTCTTCTATAATCACTCTCCTTGAAATATAGGTTTTCCTTGATTGTCCTGGTTCTCTGTGGTAGAGTTGCATGCAGAGCACCTCTCTTTAGCCATGTTGGATTCTTCGTCTTCAACTGGCAGGTTGTTGGTTTTGTTTTTGTTTTTGTTTTGTTTTCCCTTTTAGCACTCAAACTATATTGTCCTATATTCTCTTGATCTTTAAAGTTTCTGTTGAGACGTCTGCTGCGAGGCATATTGGAACTTCCTTACAATTCATTTGCTTTTTTTTTTCTTTCTTTTTTTTCTGATTTCAGTATCCTCTTTTTGATCTTTAACAGTTTGATTATATCATGAAATAGTCTTATTTGGATTTGTATCTGATTGGAATTTTTTGAACTTCATATACCTGGATATTTATCTTTCTCCAGGTTTGGAAAGTTGTCTACTGTTATTTCTTTAAATAAGGTCTGGGGATGTAGCTGAGTGGAAGAGCACTTGCTTGGTACATGCAAGGCTCTGGGTTCAATCGTCAGCAAAAAAAAAAGAAGGAAAGAAAAGCTTTCTCTTCTCATTCTCTACTCTTTTGAGCACCACTAATTACTACATTTGCTCTTTTGATACTATCCCATAAGTTTCCTGACCTACCTTCATTCTTTTCTATTTTCCTCTTCTTGACTATTCAAATAACCTGTCTTCACAGATTCTTCTGCTTGATCACTTCTTCTGTTGATGCTCTATTGAATTGTGTCATTCATTGTATTTTTCAGTTCAGGATTTCTGATTTTTTCATTCAATTTCTGTTAAATTTATCAGAGTCCTGTTCTACCATCTTGATCTGCCCTCTCTCCCACAGTGATCTCTTTTTGAGGGATACAAAATAAGGACTCTTTACCACTGAGCCATTTTAATTTTTCATTTTGAGATGGGGTCTTGCTAAGTTGCTCATGCTGGCCTTGAACTTGTGTGCCTGAAAGTTTTCTCTCATTTTACTTTTTTACTTTCTTATCATTAAAGGAGCAGAGCCTTTCCCTTGCCTTTTATTCTCTCCCTTGGAACTGTGCCATGCAGGTGCTTAATAAATACTTGTTGAAAAAAGGATAGCTGAGGGCTGGGAATGTGGCTCAGGCGGTAGCGCGCTCGTCTGGCATGCGTGCGGCCCAGGTTCAATCCCCAGCACCACATACCAACAAAGATGTTGTGTCCGCCGAGAACTAAGAAATAAATATTAAAAAAATTTCTCTCTCTCTCTCCCCTCTCTCACTCTCTCTTAAAAAAAAAAAAATCAAAAGTCTTTCTCTCTCTTTAAAAAAAAAAAGAAAAAAGGATAGCTGATAGCAAAAATTTTTATGGTTACCTATAGGTTACCTTTTTATATTTGATGTTGTCCTTTTTTTTAAAACCTAGAGACCCTGAAATATGGCGTCTGGCCTGCCTGAAAGTGTGGGGCAGAAGCTGTATTAAACTTGTTCCTTACTCATCATGGAGAGAGATGTTTTTAGAACGGCCTCGTGTTCGATTTGATGGTAAGTTGGACCCTAGAACCTAGGAGAAATAATGATATGTGATGTATTTGATAATTACATGATTTTAATTTTCTGTAATAAATATAAGTACTATGAGCATATTTAAAGGAAACAATAAAAATAAAGCTGGATATGTGTTATGATTGTAACTTTTAAAGTTTTATTTATGTGCTTTTAAAATTTTTTTGTTGTTAATAGGCGTGTATATCAGTAAAACTACATATATTCGTCAAGGGGAACAGTCTCTTGATGGTTTCTATAGAGCCTGGCACCAAGTGGAATATTACAGGTACAACTGTAGTAAACTGAGTGAGTGGAAAATTCTCTCTCCAAGTATTAGCTCAATAGTTATTTGSTCTGTTCTTTGTCACATTTGGTTTATCCACAAAAGCCTCTTGGTGTTTTTATCCAGTGTTATGACATAGAAACTGCACTCAAACAAAAAGTTTAATGTAAATTATGTAATTCCTTCTGGCCTCTAAATATGTTTTTAAGCTCTCCTTTTGTCATGGCTTTTACCTATTTACCTTTTCAAATAGCTTTTTAATTTAAAATTTTTTTTGTTGTCAGTGGATCTTTATTTTATWTATTTATATGTGGTGCTGAGAATCGAACCCAGTGCCTCACATATTCTAGGCAAGTGCTCTGCCACTGAGCCACAACCCCAGCCCTCAAATAGCTTTTTATCCAGCCATAGTTATTCACAGTTCACCAAATATTACTGTCATTGAGAAATAGATGTATGTATTAATTATCAGATTTTACTTTTTGTGTGACATTAATTAGTGCTTTAGAAAAGCATAGAACTTTAATAAAAGAGCAATATTTCATTTTTATTCAGTGAGTGAAATTAAGTTTACCAGTTCCCCCTAAGGGAAATGGAAAAAGAAAAAATGCCTTTAGTTCTTTGTCACTGGACTAACAGATTGTCCATCAAATTTGCTTCAGTGATATTTTTTCAGTTTTTTGGCCCATGGTATTTCAGTTTTGGTTTCAAAACTATGAACCGGTTTAGATACTGAAAAATAAGGACTTGTTTTATGCTTTGTGTGTAAAGTATGCTTTGATTTTTTTATTTTC